CCGCTTGGGCGGGTATTTTGAACTTTCGCTTGCTCTCTTCTGCTAGAAAAAAAACCTGTAAATTCTTGTGAGGCTGCGCAGTCGCTCAAAAAAGCCACTTTACTTGGGGAATTTTCAGGTCCTGATAACTTGTGCAAGCTTCGCTAGGCACCAAATACTGCACCCCCCCCCCAACCAAGCCGAACTGCGCCGAAAAAACAAAGCAAGAGCAGAACATGTGTGTGGTTTCTCTTAGAAATGAAAATAAGCGAAATAGACCAAGCGCCATGAAACGCTCCACTATTTGCCTCAGAAGAAAACTTACGATAGGATCCAACAAGCTTGACCTTTGCAGTGACACCTTGATGGTGGCAACACAGCCAGCAGTGACTTCAAATGCATCGTCCTCGCCCTCCACTTAAAGCAAAACAATTACTATCCGAAAGATGGTAATGAATAAAATGTTAAAGAAGCATTAAAGAAGAGACTGGGGATCCCATCACCCTCCCCCCCCTCTCTCCCTTCTACTCGCAAAGGAACGTTTAAGAGGGCAGTGAAGCCAGAGACTCGTAATTCGCTTCCGGAACAACGGAAAAATTGAAAAAGTTAGCGCTCTAAAAATAAGGGGAATAGGAAATCGCTAGTGTAAACATGTTAGGCCTTAAAGGCACAGTTCGCGACCGCAAATTGCGGGAAACGGAACTCAAATAGGCACAAAAAAGTGCTAAGTATCTGATTAGCGGAGAAAAGCAGCAGTAAAAGCAGTCCGAAATGTTATAGAGAAAGATAACATAGTGGCTACTAGCTAGTAGCTAGCAGCCGGTGAGGGTCGGCATGGGCCTAAGGGGTGTCCATGGGCCTAATTAGTCAGCTTCTAGCGGAGTTCTTGCCGTTTTTCACATTTTGAAAGTAGCGCAGCCTCAAAAATCGCCTTCCGGATCGTCCGACACATTTGAGAGGTCATAGCCTTATTTTTTCGCGGAATGTGCCTTTAACGCGATCCACGAAGCTAATGCGAATATCCCAAAGACACTCCTTACTAGGGTACGTTATGTCGTAGGGAAATTTTCGCGAAGTACGACCCTCCGACCCTCCCCCAATTTCCCCCTCTGGAGCAACTCACTTGGCCATCCTCCATAGCTGCCATTTTCCTTAGGTTCCCCTCGATCACGTTTCCCAGTTTTCCAGAGATTTTTCCAGTATTTCCCGAAAGAGGTTGAGCGAAGAGCAGGAGGAGGTCGGGGAAGGTTCAGCTATTGGAGATAGTAGCTTAATAGGACTCTGACTGCGCCGTCTACTGCGGGGCAGGGGAGGGGGATTTCTTAGGCCATATATGACCCACATTCGACCACATACGACCCCCTTACTGGGGATTCAGCAGCGTAAGATGCGGCCTAGTCCTTGCAGGCACATCCTATAGCGCACAATAACGCATGTCAGCGCAGTTTATAATCGATGTTACAGAAACACTAGCGTCTAGGGCGGGGGCGGCGGGGAGGGGGCTGGAATGGTGCTAATTTCGCAAAGAAAAAAAAGACCTTCAAATACAATTGAGTGTGAGTGCCTCCTGTTGCGGGCAAAAAATACTAGTCAACGCGTTCCGGGCCGCGTGACACACATGGTGTCTCATACATTTTTCTCTCTGCGCTTTTTCATATGGTTACCTCGCATCTTTTTCATGCTTCAAAAATACCACAAGAAGCTTTCGAGCGTAAAATACAAACAATCTCAGAGGAAAGTAAAAGAAACAGATGAAATACCGATTACCGATTTGAAAAGTGAAGAAAATATGATGAGGATGCTCGCACAATGGCTGTCCGGAATGTTGTTAAACAACAGACTTACAAGAAAAACCCACCAACTACAGTAGTTTGAATGGACAACCGTGGCATAGAAGACAATACAACGAGCACATCACGGTATTCTTCATCTGATAAGGATTTCAGAAGAGCACGACGTTTCTCTCCATCTAATGCGGCTAAATCTCCGCAAGAAAATACACGTCCCTAAAAAGTGTAATATTGTGCAAAAGTATGTGCATTTCATTCCCCATATGATGATGCCAAAAAGGCTCTAAGAATTCAAACCAGGACATGATTCCATTAAGCGGTCAATTAATTGGGGGGTCGCCTGAGAATCAAAGACCAAGAAATGGCGTGCTATTGCTCATTAAGTGGGCCATTCACGCGAAAGCTCTTCTGCCGCACCGCTCGAGATAATTAGCCATATCGAACTCTATGTTAATTAAGGAGCAGCTCCACTTCCCTGGAGCATTAAAACCTAGCGGACCAGTATGACCACAGAAGGGACAAATAGAGATGTTGCTAGCTCTCACTCAAGCCATAAGATGATCTACGGGGTCACAAGAGACACAAATATTCTATGTCCACAATCGAACCCCAGAGCAAGAACCCTACTTTGCCTACGCCACTCTCGCCCTGCCCGAACCTTTGGAGGCTCATCGAAATGCATTCACTACTAATTCACCTACTGTAACATGGAATGGCCATTTGAAAAAAGAAAAAAATAGTTAAAGGTTAAAAAAACGGTCACGGGGCACTTGTCAACCAGACGTGCTCTCGCTGCGAGGGTCCAGGGGTATTTTCTCGAGGCATCTACTAGCCCAGTAGTTGAAGGGAGAAGGTAAAGGAGGAGGGATCAGAGAAGGAAGGAAGGAAAAGAAGGAAGGAGGAAGAAAAAAGGAAAGAAAAGAAGGCTCCGCGGTTGACAAGTGCCCTGAGACGGTTAAAAAACCCGATGACTCACATCGAACTGTACACGGAATCCCAATGGATGGGAGTCATTAACAGCAATGAACATCAAGTCACGTAATCCAACGATACAAAAGAATTCCTGTGTAACAGCCGTCTCAATTTCACTCTTTGAGGGAGGAAAAACGACCCAAAGCAGCTGAAAAGAAGTAGTTGAATTATTGTCTAAATAAACTGACGTAATCTCGAGGAAAAAGCTCCATAAATCAACTCCATGAGGACCCTGCTTTGAAACTGTACAGCAGTTGTGCTAAAGAAGCGAAGGTGTAATGGATATCCTTCTGTCACCTCATGGAACAATTTATTCTGATCTTTTAATAGCTATTTACAAGATTTCACCATCCTACAGCCATCATTTTACCCTCATCATTACTTAACCTATGAAGTGATGAGCGAAGCATGGCACGTAATCATCACCAAACCTCCTTGATATTAGGCGCTGGATCCAAGCCCAAGAGAAGCATTATGAACCAGGGCACATCGTTGTTGGGGTGGAAAATCCCCAATAGGAGGGGGGGGGTCGTATTTGGCCGCCAGGAGAGGGGGGTATTTGGGCTGAGAAAAATTTATTTTGATAGTTGATTTTTCTCGCTTCATGGACGTTGTAAAGGGAGGGGGGGTCGTACTTGCTCATTGTTGGGAGGGGGGGGGGTCGTACAGACTCGACTAAAATCCCCAATTAATGATGTGCCCTGTTATGAACCCATACCTTACCTGGTTGTGTGATCTAAAAGCTCACCTGCCGAATATCAAAAGGCACATCTTGTCGTAAAATTGTTTTGCCGGTGCCTAATAATAATATCACTTCACGATCTACTGCAACAGCATAGATAGATTGACCATCACCGCATGTCCGTTGACAGAAGAGCAACTAAACAGAACTTAGTCATTAGCAAATAGCAACTCGTTGTTTTTCCCAACGAAATCATTTAAATCGCTCAGCATCTTCGACCAGAGACGAGAAGTCATGAGGTGGACTACCATAGTGAGAGAATTAAGGTGAAGTAGCCGCCCTTAGCAGGAAAGGAACATGGTTTTAAGGCTTCAACTACTGAACACTGACCCTTCCTATAACTTCACAGCTCTCAGCGAAGGTAAAAAAGCCGTCAGCTCACCCCAAGCTGATCCAACTATAGTATCAGGGCTTAATTCTTTCACGCCAAGGGATATGTTCATCTTGTCGAGATTAAGGGAGAACTGGACGACGTTCCTTTCCTTACTTCTGGTTGAAGGGCTTCTGTGAACCGGGTGCTCCTGCGAGGGACCAGAGGCATTTTCTCATTGCATCTCTGTCCGAGCATTTGAAAGGAGGAAAAAAAGGAAGAGAAGGGAGGAAAATGAGGAAGAAAAGAAAGAATGAGGAAGGAAAAGGTGGGAGGAACGAGGCTACCCCCATAACCAATCGCTCTACAGCATACACTAGGTTAGAGTCCCCCACCATGCATACTCGTAATGCCTCCTGTTCCCTGTACACTTCCATCCCCAATGTTCGAGAACCATCGCAGAAATACCCACAGGACCAAACCTATTTATTGCCAGACAAATGCACTTGTAACAAGTTTATTAAGTAAAAGTACCAATGACATTAATGACAACAACCGACTCATAATACACGCATCGGGACCGAGATTAAAATGAAGTAGTACATGGGCAGAGTTGTATTAGTGGTTAAAGTAAAGTATGTGAGGTGATAATATTAACATGAGATCGCCACTCCTCTGGATCATGCTGTTTCTAAACTGTGGCGGTATCTGGGACAGAGGCCTCTTCTGCATCAGCTTTTGGTCTCTTTACAGCTTCAGTTTCTGATTCCACTTCGGCTGTCGCATCGGCAGTTCTCTTTGTTGGCTTGCGGACCTGAAGCAGACAAGGGTCATCAGGCGGGAATGGAAAGTAGGGCACCCACCTTAAGGCTGAATCCTGAAAACAATTGAGGCAGCGTACAGACTTCGCAATATCGCCCTTTTACGCGCGTCGACGCGCAGCAACTTCCACAGCGCTCAAATAAAACAGACGCGATTGCTGCCGCACACTGCAATCGATCGCCGTAGGCCGCTTTGTTCTAAGAGAGTATGGGGGAACAGGAGCGTACATCTTGTCTACTCACGCAGTCTGGTATCGATCGGCTTTGGCCGCTAGCGCTTCGGAAGAGTATAGAAGAATGAGGGTACCAAATTGAGTGAAGGTCATACCCATTGTTCTATACTCTTTTAAACACAAGCGTCCAGCGCCGATCGATTCCTATCTGCGGCCACGTTCACTTCTACAGTAATTGAGCGCTGTTGCAGTTGTAGCGCGCGTCATCGCCAAGTCTTAATGCTGCCTAGTTGGCCCCACGGTCCCAACCAAATTACTAAAGCACTCACCATGTTTGAAATGTCGTTAACTGGGACATCATCAGCTACTGGAGCTAATTTGGGCAGTGTAGCCGAGAATGCAGATTTCAATTCCTCCTTAGCCTTAAACGAGGACCATTAGAATCAAAACCCAAAAAGTATCCACTGACTACAGACCTTCTCTAAAGTCGCAGCACTTTCATTGGCATCCTGAATTTTCAGTTCGATATCAGGAATAAGACCCTTCAGATCCGTCAGCTCCTTCTCCAACTCAGTTTTGTCGGATTGCTTCTCTGGTTCGCTGATATCACTGATTGTCTTCTCAACCGTTTCTGCAATCAAAAACCTTTTCTGCAACCTCATCACCTAACTCTACAGAATGAACTCACCAATGCGAAGAGTGAGGCAATCTTTTGCCTTCTGATAGTGTTCAGCTGCTAACGTAAACTCCTTGTCCAGCTTGTAAACGCGGGCAAATGTGACGTAAGTTTGAGCAATAACACGATCACCAGGTGGCAGATGATGTAGTTGGATTTGTAGGGCACTCGTCAAATCATCCAGGGCCTAAACATGGGGCTCAAATGCTTCCTACATATAGAACCAGCGAGCACTTCTAGAAACTCACCTGTTTGTAGTTTTCCTCCTCAATCGAACACTCCGCAAGTGAGAACAGGACATCCGCCTTTTTCAACTCCCACTCTTTCGTAGGCTCTTGCTTGTCACAGATGTTTCGGGCTACCTAAAACATATACGTCAGCATAATTGTATACAGCCTCTCATCCACTAGCAGATAGTAGTAAGACTCAATGTAAAAATCACAGAAGTGCAAATTCTGAAAAGAACCATTGGGTTGATCAAAGTCCTGCGACGTTCAGAGCAGACCTACTAGAAAAATCGCAATAATCTCTGAATGCTTTCGCCTCTGCCTATTGTGAAGTGACCTTGAATATTTTAGCAGTCGGATTTACGAGGAGTTATGGATTACGGAGAAAGTAAAGGAATACTCAGGAGTAAGGCTTTGTCCACACCCTGCGTCAGCGTACAGTACTGCAGCTTTTCCAGCGCAAGCAAGTGCCAGCGACTAGTATAGATATTAATCTAGCGTACGCCAGCGTAAGCTAACGTACAGCAGCGTTTTAGCGGGCAGTTTGCTCAAGCACAAAATCGCTCGCGAAAACACTGGCGTACGGTAGATCCGATATCCAAGCTTTCCTATCGCTGGCACGCGTTGACACAAAGTATGAACGCAGCCTAAGGAATGGAACAAAGAAATAAAGCGACATATTGATATCAAATTTCACCAGCACCAGGCTCAGTTCAATCTCCTACAAACCGTAATTCATCTAGAAGAAGGGGGAGCGGAGTCGATACCCTTTTTACAGTCATAAGAAGAATGCTTAGTTATGGGCAAAACTCAGACCCTAGATGGGAATCGAACCCGCGTCTCTCACTGACCATATGAGGGCTCTATTCTTTACGCCACGACAAACATTGGACGTGTTAGTGCTGCAAGGCTATGGCGCAAAAG